TATATATAATATATATGATGGAAAATCGCCGCCAAAAAAATGGTGGTGTCGTTCGGGAAAATCATCCAGTGCTCGGCGAAACTTCTGCGATGGAACATGTTGGATTCCCAGTCGCGAACAGGAAAAAAATGTTTCGTCTCCTTCACTGGGAATATCATCTGGTTGGTGGTTGAGCCCTACCCCTCTGAAAAATGATGGAGTTCGTCAGTTGGGATGATGACATTCTCAATATTAATGGAAAGTCATTTACCAACCATGTTCCAAACCACCAACCAGATCATGGATTATCCCATTCCTAAGTTGTTTGGCAGTGTGTTTCATGGTTTTTCTGGTTTTTTTAACATTGATTAACCGATGGATTTAGGAATTTAGGGGTAATTATCCAATTTTCAGACCAAGCCATATGTATTGATAACTGGCATAGAGCTATGGCCAGTGGTACCACTTGCCTAACTTGCTAAATGGGCTGCAGATTTGAGACCTAAAGCACTCACACTTTCGTAGCAACGGTTTCCTTGCGAAAATAAAAACTTGACTACTGGCTGTTCGTACTTGGGGGCCATGTTTGACATGATAAAGTTGATAAAGGATGGCCGGGATATCTTTGGGCGATTTGAAAGCATTCAAAAGCTACGCGAAGATGATCCACAGCAAAATGCAACCAACGACAAGAACATCCAAAACCAGTGATGGTATTGTGGCTGAAAAAGATCAACTTTTGGATTCTCGTTGGGCTATCTTCACCCTCCAGTGTCCAACATGGAAAATGAACAAAATCATCTTTGTACCCTCCGCTGTCATCAAACATGGTTCGCTGGAAATCCCCCACAAAAGAGTTCGAAAAAATATGCTTTTGTTAGCTATAAACCTCCGTTGAGTTGAGTTCAGGGATTTCCCAGCCATGTTTGATGACATCGAAGTCTAGCTCTTCACTGTTATTCAAAACCTGATCCTCACCGCGGAAAAAACAAGAGCGGCTACCCTAAGAAATGTGGAGAAAACATATTGAAACTTCATGGCTCAAGATGGCTGTGCCCCCAAAACCCTTCTTCAGTCTCCGTCATTGCCTTCTACCGATGTTGCTAGGGATATAAGGTTTATCAAAATGGAAGTAATCCCTGACTAGTTAGTATACCAGTATCAATTTGTTGGATTACAGTACAAGTGGAAACGTCTAACAGGTTCACAGTAACCTCAATTTTCACCACATAATCAACAAACATGTTTGAGCGTTGCTCATGAGATAACGTGTTCAAAAGCCTCTCTCATCCCCAATCTATGGATAGCATAACCCCAGAACTAATCATCAATTAACCATCATGTCACAATGTTGTGCCATATCATATCTCTGTATCCCCAAATTTTCATGGTTGAAACTGCCATAATTGATGGGTATTGATGATAAATTCCATCAACAGGGCTATCTAGCCCACAGCTTCCGCAGCGCTGGGGTGTTGGCCACGCCAGACTCATAGTACCTCAGGTCAAACCATATACCAACATGTATGTTTATAGTTAAAAAACATGGTGTCTATATTAGTATGTGTATATATATACATATTGCAGTATATACAATAATATTATAGTATATTTATACGAACTACATGCATATAATATAGTATATACGTTGTGTAGTATAATATCAATGTATAGTAATATATATTAGATGCAAATTGGTGTATGAGTATTGACTCATGTCTAAAAGATATACTAATATTCATTCAAACATGATAACATCATCCCCGATCTTAAAATCAGCCAGCTCAGCCCAAATGTTCCTGATTCATGGCCTACTCAGCCAGCTCAAGATCAATGCCTTTTCTCATCATTTCCGCCCCCAACATGGCAAATCTGATTTATACCATTATACCTGTCAAAAAATCTATTGTTTAGCTGGTGAATGGACTAATTTTACCATTGATAACAACAAAATAAACATAATAAACTACTAAATGATGGTGGTTAGTACCATAATAAACACAATGGATTAATGTTCATCATTGATTGTTAGTATCTTAAAAAAATGGTGGTTCCAGCTAAGTGGACTCAGTGGACATGTGCGGCTCGGCTAACATGGAAGTTGTTGAAACGCCAGGAAGTGGTCTCAATGTTCGAAGGGGTTCAACACTAAACCATGTTATCTGGGTGAATTATGGTAAATCATAAATTAATAATGGAAAATTCATGTAAATTAATGAATATATATATATAATGAGTTATAACAACTGCTATGGTAAATTATATTTGAATTATGATAATGCTTCTGACATTGCTGGTAAATTAATGTAAACTGCAAAAATTGCTTTACCAACATTGCTTTACCAGCATTCCCAAACCAAATTACCAATGGTTAAACCATTAAATGATGGTGAAACCGTGAAATCGTGAAACCATTACTCCGAAATGGTGGGTGAATTATAGTAATTCACGCACCTGAAATGATTGGGTTTCCCCCAGGGAAAACTCACCTAGATGTGGAACATGGTCCATTTAGCTCGTTGAATTATATACCTATTAAAATCTATTAAACTTGTGATTTTCCACATCTATGTTAGTTTGCCCCAGGGCACCACATTACTAGCAACCACGTCTAAAATACACCCAGGGTGTCATCCAAGCGACTCCAGCGTCGCTGCGCGTAACCCAACGAAGGTGGCGTCTTCGTCGTCGTCGCAGGACGCAGCGCTGGGCGGCAAAACTGGCACCTGCCGGGTGCTGGGCATTTGGAGATCTTGCGCAACAGAAATGCGGGGAAAAAAACAAGTATCCCGGCAAGAGACCCCAAACAGTGTGGTGGGAGTGGGAGGATAATGTATGATAATGTTGATGATGCTGATCATGATGTTTGGGGAATACCTTACTTCGAGTGATGTTGACCCTGACTATTCTGGCATCGTTTCTGACATATCATCTGGAAGTATATATGGCATTTATATATGTTTTCTTGACGCTCTATCTGACATCCTTTCTGGCATATACTTTGACATTCTATCTGGCATTTTTTCTGGCATTCTATCGTGCATCTATTCTGACATACTTTCTAGCAAATATTCTGACATTCTTTCTGGCATTCTATCTGGCATCTATTCTGACATTCTATCTGGCAGTCTGATTGGCATTCTATCTGACCTAATACACTCTGACATTCTGTCTGGCATTTTCTGTGGCATGTGTTCGGGTTCAGGCGTGCCCAGCTGCATCCAGAGCTGGCATATGGCTCGGAAAAACCAGGCTGACATCAGGCGGAGATGAGGACAAGAAGGAGCAGGCACAAGAGGAAGAGGAGAGGATGAAGGAGGAGGGAGGAGAAGAAGGAGGAGGAGTTGCACCTTTGTTAAAATCTAGAGACCCTCACCTGGCAGGTGGGGAAGAACACAGTTACAGGGTGGGGCCCCATAGTTAGCTAAATTGTTTTTTAACTCCGATAAATAGTTAAAAGGGATTACAAACCAACTTATAACTGGGGAACACCACCCTGTATGGCCCAAAAAACAGTTGTATATAAGTCAGAAAGTCACCCTATGGAATGCTTTCTAACCCCATGTATAACAAAAAATAACAATAATAATAATAACTAGTATTTTTTCAAGGCTAAAGGGCTGCAGGACTTTTTTTTAACACGACTATTGTGTCACAAAAGTGTGTTTGCTATGTAGCTTCTGGTAAACATACAAAAAACCATTGAAAATGGCCCATTCAATTAGTGAGTTTTCCCATTAAAAATGGTGGATCTACCAGTTCGCTATGTAAACGTTTACCAGAGGGTAGGTTCTATTTCAAGATGATGATTTGAAGATGCAGCCAACAACATCGTCATGTGAAGTCCTGCACCGACTTAGTTGGTGTAGAAGTGACTTGGAATTTCGATATACGATGGAAGAACTCACTCCTGTCCTGCGCTAGATCCAGCTAGTAGATGGTTTATCATGCTTATCCCATTGTAATACCATGATTGTCCCAGTGTTTTATATGGGATAAACATGATACAATGGGATTTAGCTCCCAATATCATGGGAACTATTGTTTTATAGATGTTTATAGTTCCCAATAGTTACCCTGGTGCAGGATTTTGCAACCATCCACAGTATGGGAAAACCGTAACACAGGGGAGACCACAACTTGTGCCACCGGTGGGCGGGTACAGTATCTTAGATCCAGCGATTCTGGACGAAATCGCTTCCATCTCCAGGATCAAACAACTATAGATAGTTTCTGGTTGGTGGTTGAGCCCTACCCCTCTGAAAAATGATGGAGTTCGTCAGTTGGGATGATGACATTCTCAATATATGGAAAGTCATTTACCAACCATGTTCCAAACAACCAACCAGGTTTTCTATCTGGTTGATACTTAATCATAAGGCACTAACCTGAAAATTGATCAAAATAGCTGAAGACTTTGCCTAGCCGCACGGTTCCGCGACTTCCAAGCATCATTCCAGTGATGTCACACTAAAACCACAACATAATTCATCCAAGTGATATCCATAATACCCACAACATTCCATAACCACAATTCGGAATTATATGGAATTATCACAAGCTGTCATAAAACAATGTTTCACTTCGACGATCCCCTTTCTGACACACTATTCTTACATAGTTTCTGACATTCTTTGCATGTGGATCCATGCCCACAGTGCCGAGCTGAAAGAGGTGTCGGAGGAAGTGGTTCATGAAGAACTCGGAGGGGGGAAAGGAGTTGCAGAGTTGCAGCTTTTTCCTGAGGGTTGTTAGATTTTATCAGAGTTGTTCTTCTCCTCCTTCTTCTCCTCCTCCTTCTCCTCCACCACCTCTGCCTCCACTTCCATGTTCACTTCCGCCTTGCCAACTCTTCGCCAAGCTCTTCGCCAACTTCCGCACGCAGTGGGCACTGCTGGACCTCAACTGCAAGGGTCTGAGCGCACTGGGCACCGCTGGACCTCAACCTGGGACCTTCCGAGCTCAGTGAGCACCGCTGGACCTCAACCTGGGACCGTCCGAGCTCAGTGAGCACCGCTGGACCTCAACCTGGGACCCTCCGAGCTCAGTGAGCACCGCTGGACCTCAACCTGGGACCCTCCGAGCTCAGTGAGCACCGCTGGACCTCAACCTGGGACCCTCCGAGCTCAGTGAGCACCGCTGGCCCTCAACGGCCAGATAGAATGCCAGAAGATATGCCAGATAGAACGCCAGATAGAATGTCAGAAAGAATGCCAGAAGATATGCCAGATAAAGTGCCAGAATGCTTGCCAGATAGAATGCCAGAAGATATGCCAGATAGAATGCCAGAAGGTATGCCAGATAGAATGTCAGATAGAATGCCAGAAGGTAAAGTGCCAGAATGTTTGCCAGATAGAACGCCAGAAGATTTGCCAGATAGAATGCCAGATAGAATGTCAGAAGATATGCCAGAAGATATGCCAGATAGAGTGCCAGAAGATGTGCCAGAACATATTGCAGAAGATATGCCAGGTAGATATGATATGCCAGATAAAATGCCAGAAGATATGCCAGATAAAATGCCAGAAGATATGTCAGATAGAATGTCAGAAGGTTTGCCAGATAGAATGCCAGAAGATCTGCCAGATAAAATGCCAGAAGATATGCCAGACAGAATGCCAGGAGGTATGCCAGATAGAATGTCAGATAGAATGCCAGAAGGTAAAGTGCCAGAAGGTATGCCAGATAGAATGCCAGAAGGTATGCCAGATAAAGTGCCAGAATGTTTGCCAGAACATATGCCAGAAGATTTGCCAGATAGAATGCCAGCTAGAATGCCAGAAGATATGCCAGAAGATATGCCAGATAGAGTGCCAGAAGATGGGCCAGAACATTGCAGAAGATATGCCAGGTAGAATGCCAGAAGATATGCCAGATAAAATGCCAGAAGATATGCCAGACAAAATGCCAGAAGATATGTCAGATAGAATGTCAGAAGGTTTGCCAGAAAGAATGCCAGAAGATATGCCAGATAAAGTGCCAGAATGCTTGCCAGATAGAATGCCAGATAGAATGCCAGAAGGTATGCCAGATAGAATGTCAGATAGAATGCCAGAAGGTAAAGTGCCAGAATGTTTGCCAGATAGAACGCCAGAAGATTTGCCAGATAGAATGCCAGATAGAATGTCAGAAGATATGCCAGAAGATATGCCAGATAGAGTGCCAGAAGATGTGCCAGAACATATTACAGAAGATATGCCAGATAGAATGCCAGAAGATATGCCAGATAAAATGCCAGAAGATATGTCAGATAGAATGTCAGGAGATTTGCCAGTAACAAAACGTATAGATGTCATGGTGGGGATAACTCGAAGTAAAGTAATTAAAATCTAGAGACCCTCACCTGGCAGGGAATGTGCTCGGTGGCTCATCCCACGAATCGTAAGTGGGTTAGTTCACCCCAGTGATTTCAGTGGATTAACCCTACAAAAATCCCATGTCAATCACTGGGGTTATAACCCACTTACGATTCGTGGGTAGTTCGCCACCAAGTGAAACATCAAGTTTTGCCTCTAAACTTCCAGCTTCAAAGTCCTGGAGAGCGAGCATCCCCCAGGAACTCTTCACCGTTTGGCATCTAAAAATTCAGGGTCAAATCACCCGAAACTTCCTGGTTGATCACCATCTTCAAAATTCAAATGGCCATTTTATGGATATATTAATGGGTATGAAAACCATGATATCCCCGAGTTTCAGCCCATTTCGAGATGTCGCCTCCAAACATGTTGCCAGATTGCTACTTGCCCAACTTCGAGGTTGTTCATTTTTGGCTTGCCTGAATTCAATCTTGATGGCGAAAAAATATTCCTAATCAGTCAGGATTCATAAGCCAATCATAATGATATTACTGATCATCAATAGGAATAATAAGCCAATTCTTCACGTGATTCTTCAATATTATTGATAATTTTCCGGATGAATAAGCCATAAACCATCCCCAAGTAGGGTTTCTTATCAGGTAAAACCCTGCAGTATTTGGGAAGATTGAAAACAGCCCTGCGAATGCTTGGTGAATGGGATGCTTAAATGATTGGCTTTACCACATTACTCTCAGTATATTCCAGAATATTCCCAGACCAAATCCTCCCGGAAAACGATCAACCCAGGTCTTTCGGAAAAACCCGGGTGGTGCTCCCCAAAAAAGTCATCACTGAGATCTACTCGAAATTTGGACCCTTCGGGCTGAGGACCAGGTACTCAAGGTACTCAGTCCAGTGCGAAGTTGGCAAGTCTCATCTGGATAGTACATGTTTGGGATGATTGACTCATCTTTGTATGATAATAGTGGATCCTGGATACCTGAAACAATGTCTTTATATGTTTTCAGGCAAATGATCGCTAATGGTCCAGGTACTAAACTACGCATTTGTTGGTTTACTTGGATGCGCATCCCACTCAGTGGTTTATAATCCATATATATATGTATATATATATACCCATATAATTTTATATATCCCATATGCTCCATGTATGGTATATTTACTTACATTTGGGTGGTTTTGAAAGGGCAAATGCTGGGATTCATATTCCAGCACCATGGTTCGCATATGATTTTATGTGGGGATAATTCCTGTCAGGGATCGGGGATATGATCCATTTACAAAGCGGGGCCCCCCCCGCACCCGAGTACCCAGCTCTTGTGAAGTCAAAAAATAAATTCTGGGCTCCTCCAAACAGTGATTCGCACTCTGTTTCCATGACCACCCCAAATGATAGATGGTAGAGATGGAACAAAATTCTCTATATGTGTAACATTGCAAACTATTATGAGCACTAACTTCAACAACATACCTACATTGGGATGATTTGCATTGATTTGCGGAACGTATATGGTCAGTGCCGGAATTATAGAACGGAAGTTGAGGAGGACGAAGGTACGGTTATTTACCGTACCCTGTTGTTCTATAATTCTATTTTCCTCGGAAGGTATGAAAAAAAAATGTATCTGATCTTCCTCCTAATTTTTTTCGTCGTTCTATAATTCTTGTCGGAGCGCTGTTGTTCTATAATTCTGTTTTCCCCCATTTTTCTCACATTTCCCATTTTCGTTCTATAATTAATGTTTCCCGGGCCCCGTTCTATAATTAATTTTTCCGTCGAACGGAAAAATTAATTATAGAACGGAAAAATCAATTATAGAATTATAGAACCTCTTCCGGGGTCCCAGAAATCCTATAAAATCACCATGACATCTAAGAAAATCACCGTGAAATCCCATAAAATTACCATGAAATCCCATAAAATTACCATGGAATCTTATAAAATCACCATGAAATCTAAGAAAATCACCTGGTAAATGTGGGAAAAATGGGGGAAAACAGAATTATAGAATGGAAGTTGAGGAGTACGAAGGTACGGTTATTTACCGTACCCTGTTGTTCTATAATTCTGTTTTCCTCGGAAGGTAGAAAAAAAATGTATCTGAATTTACTCCTAGCTTTTCTCGTCGTTCTATAATTCTTGTCGGAGCGCTATTGTTCTATAATTCTGTTTTCCCCCATTTTTCCCACATTTCCCATTATCCTCATGTTACAGCATCCTCATTTTATCCTCGTTTCCTCATCAAATCCTCATTTTATCATCATTTTATCTTCATTTCCTTATCAAATCCTCATTAAACCTGCATTTTATCCTCATGTCCTCATCAAATCCCCATTAAATCTTCTTTTTATCCGCGTTTTATTATCATTTCCTCATCAAATCCTCATTTTATCTTCATTTTATCTTCATTTTATCCTCATTTTCTCATCAAATCCTCATTAAATCCTGATTAAATCCTCATTTTATGTTCATTTTATCTTTATTTTATCATCATTTCCTCATCAAATCCTCATTTTATCTTCATTTTATCCTCATTTTATCCTCATTTTATCCTCATTTTATCCTCGTTTCCTCATCAAATCTTCATTTTATCTGCATTTTATCTTCATTTCCTCATCAAATCCTCATTAAATCCTCATTAAATCTTCATTTTATAGATTGTATATGTACAAATATGCAGTAAATATCATGTCAGTGCCAGAAATTATAGAACGGAGCCAGGAGGACAAAAGTACGGTAAAATACCGTACCTTTGTCCTCCTCCCCGTTCTATAATTAAATTTCCCGACTCCGCTCCGAATCGGAACCCGGAGGAGGACAAAGGTACGGTATTTTACCGTACTTTTGTCCTCCTGGCTCCGTTCTATAATTCTGGCACTGACTGTATACAATATATATATATATACAATATATATATAGGCCCCATGCAAAAGTAGAAATCCAGCATGGTAGATATAAACAAATTATGTGTTCCCGTATTTTTGCCAGGTTTCCTAGGTATGTTCGGCAGTAATTTCGGCATCTATGACTCAATACTGCCACACACCATGGTGGGTTTTATTAGTGGTTTTACTAAATGAAAAAAGCCTCTTAGATACAGTACAAGGTGGTGCCCCCCAAGTTATTAATTGGTTATAATCCCATTAACTAGTTCGATATATCACCTATAAACCATAGTGACATTGGACTTATTTGCACCCACTGAACGCGTTTTCGAACTGGGGCACCACCCAACGTACCAAGGGCGCGAGTAAACCAACAAAGGAACTCGAGGGCGCTTGGTCAAAAAAGTGCCCGTTGGTAAACGAGTTGGAGCTTTCTGGGAGAATCATCGAACTATGCTGGAGTCTTGCCACAGAAAGCCAGGTTGGATTCTCAAAAAAGGTATGAGGGACAAAAAAACACATTAAATTAAGGGGGTACCCTCCAAATAGTCACAATATGGTACATAAATGGTACCCTCCCAATTAAACAGACTAGGGGTTTATTAATCCAGGGTTGACATTAATTTAACCATCATTATCATGATGGATCTGGAATTGAAACAATTGGAACCAAACACCCGAATATCAAGGGATAATAGGTATGATGGATCTGGAATTGAAACAACTTATTGTGGTAAAATGCGACCAACCGAGCTCCATAGCGTGCAAGAAAAACATCGAAATCAGCGTACTCAAGTCACCCGGCTCCTGTATGTCATCACCACAACGTTTCAGCCAGGAGGTCTCTGCCTGAAGCGAGCTGCGGTCGAGGAAGATATTGTTGGATCAGTTTACCCTCCGGTAATCAAACATGGCAAGTGGAATTTCACTTTCCATAGAAGTTTCAATGAAAAAAATCAAGGATCGACTATAAACAAAAGTATTTTCAAGGACTTTCCAGTGCCATAATTGATTCATTACTGCGAGGGTAGTCCATGTGAGGTAAATACTGATTGTTTCCCAAGTCCCCTGCTGAATTGGTTTAATTTCTAGTGGCAATGTATGAATTCTACCGGAAAAGATGACAAAAAAACAAACAAAGTCTAAGAGTCTACTTGGTCGTTCATCCCACTTAGTAAGTGGGTTATAACCCCAGTTATAAGTGGATTAACCCTACTTATCCCATGTCAATCACTGGGGTTATAACCCACTTACGATTCGTGGGATGAACCACCAAGTAAGAGTCTAAGGGAATGTCTGGGAACCGCCGTAAAACAAACTCTATTTTTTGTTCTCCGAAAGGTACCATTGGTTTAGACTCCGAAAGAATTCTGGATCATTGACGCCGAAAAAAATTATACTTTCTTCGAGTGATCCCAACCCTGACACACTATTCTGACATAATTTCGGACATACTGTTTGGAAGTAATTATGGCATATATATATATATATATTGTGACATTCTATCTGGCATTCTTTCTGGGATATACTCTGAGTTTCTATCTAACATGCTTTCTGGAATTCTATCTGGCATCTTTTCAACCATTCATTCTGGCACATAGAAATGGATCTTTTCAACCATTCTGGTAGATAATTCTGGCATCTTTTAACCGCCTATACTCTGACATTCTATCTGGCATCTATTCTGACATTCTGACACAGGCGGGGCCCGCATCCAGAGCTCGAGAGTCCGGGTCCAGTGGTCCAGGATGGTCCAGGTGTGGGGAGCATCCATCCGGAGCTGGCGATATGGCTGGCTGAAAAAGAAGCGATCGATGCACCTTTCTTCAAATAACTCCAAGGTGGTGCCCCAGTTCGAAAACGCGTTCAGTTGGTGCGTTTATAACTCCAATGTCACTATGGTTTTTGTTGGTGATATATCGAACTGGTATTCATGGGGTTTATAAACCAATAAACATAACGTTTGGGGGCACCACCTTGTAGAGACTTCACCTGGCGGGGAAAAAGATGGAAAAAGTGTCATGAACATCCTATGATCAATGGGAATTCCAATACATCGCTACCAGAAATGGCCATTGACAAAGGATGTTCACCAAGGGGGCCAGGGTATTTTTCTGATGAAATTGAGAGATCCCCCCGGCTGACCCTCTTTGACGTAGTTGTGATTGTGGTGCTAGGTGAGGCCCCCGAACGACTAAGTTGACGTAAATCACTGGGCGAACTAGGCTTTATCGTGGATATATATATATACCGTTAAAAACAAAGTTAGAATGCGGTTTTGGCTTCGCGTGATGGTGGCCCGTTTGGCCCCCCCCCACGGCAGTCGCATTCTAACTGAGGAAACACCTGTAAATATGCAGAAACACAGTTAGAATGCGGCGCCAAAATTGGTAAGAAAATGTAAGTTTTGACTGGTATTTTACAGGCGAAATACAGTTAGAATGCCTCCTCCTTTTCTTCTATATTGTTCCTTGCCCTTCCTTTTCTTCTATGTCTTTTTCATTGATATATCTGCTGTAGTTTCCGGGGGGCATTTTATCTGTTGTTTTTCTACTGTAGCCACATTTCTGACCCGCAGGGAACCTGGAGTGCCCTTGTCTCTTTTCCGCTCTTATCCGCTTCCCTTTCCTTGTCCTTTTGTTTCTATAATAGTCCTTTCCCTTCCTTTTCTTCTATGTCTGTATTCATTGATCTATACGTGCTGTAGTTTCCGTAGGCATTCTATCTGTTGTTTTCCCTGCTGTAGCCATATGTTTCTGACCCGCAGGGAACCTGGAGTGCCCTTGTCTCTTTTCCGATCTTATCCTCTTCCCTTTTCGCCTCCTTTTCTTCTATATTGTTCCTTACCCTTCCCTTTCTTCTATGCCTTTTTCATTGCCCCCATATCTGCTGTAGTTTCCGGGGAGGCATTCTATCTGTTGTTTTCGCCACTTTAGCCATATGTTTTTGACCCGCAGGGAACCTGGAATGCCCTTGTCATGCCCTTGTCATGCCCTTGTCTCTTTTCCGACCTTATCCTCTTCCCTTTTCTCGTCCTTTTCTTCTATATTGTTCCTTACCCTTCCTTTTCTTCTATGTCTTTTTCATTGATCTATATCTGCTGTAGTTTCCGGGGAGGCATTCTAGTCTATCCGTTGTTTTCCGCACTGTAGCCATATGTTTCTGACCCGCAGGGAACCTGGAGTGCCCTTGTCTCTTTTCCGACCTTATCCTCTTCCCTTTTCTCCTCCTTTTCTTCGATATTGTTCCTTACGCTTCCTTTTTTCTTATGTCTTTTTCATTGATCTATATCTGCTGTAGTTTCCGGGGAGGCATTCTATCTGTTGTTTTCCCCACTGTAGCCATATGTTTCTGACCCGCAGGGAACCTGGAGTGCCCTTGTCTCTTTTCCGATCTTATCCTCTTCCCTTTTCTCCTCCTTTTCTTGTATATTGTTCCTTACCGTTCCTTTCTTCTATGTCTTTTTCATTGATCTATATCTGCTGTAGTTTCCCGGGAGGCATTCTATCTGTTGCTTTCCGCACTGTAGCCATATGTTTCTGACCCGCAGGGAACCTGGAGTGCCCTTGTCTCTTTTCCGACCTTATCCTCTTCCCTTTTCTCCTCCTTTTCTTCTATATTTTTTCCTTACCATTCCTTTTCTTCTATGTCTTTTTCATTGATCTATACCTGCTGTAGTTTCCGGGGAGGCATTCTATCTGTTGTTTTCCCCACTGTAGCCATATGTTTCTGACCCGCAGGGAACCTGCAGTGCCCTTGTCTCTTTTCCGACCTTATCCTCTTCCCTTTTCTCCTCCTTTTCTTGTATATTGTTACTTACCCTTCCTTTTCTTCTATGTCTTTTTCATTGATCTATATCTGCTGTAGTTTCCGGGGAGGCATTCTATCTGTTGTTCTCCCCGCTGTAGCCATATGTTTCTGACCCGCAGGGAACCTGGAGTGCCCTTGTCTCTTTTCCGACCTTATCTCTTCCCTTTTCTCCTCCTTTTCTTCTATATTGTTCCTTACCCTTCCTTTTCTTCTATGTCTTTTTCATTGATCTATATCTGCTGTAGTTTCCGGGGAGGCATTCTATTTGTTGTTTTCGCCACGGTAGCCAGATGTTTCTGACCCGCAGGGAACCTGGAGTGCCCTCGTCTCTTTTCCGACCTTATCCTCTTCCCTTTTCTCCTCCTTTTCTTCTATATTTTTTCCTTACCCTTCCTTTTCTTCTATGTCTTTTTCATTGATCTATATCTGCTGTAGTTTCCGGGGAGGCATTCTATCTGTTGTTTTCCGCCTTGTAGCCATATGTTTCTGACCCGCAGGGAACCTGGAGTGCCCTTGTCTCTTTTCCGATCTTATCCTCTTCCCTTTTCTCCTCCTTTTCTTCTATATTGTTACTTACCCTTCCTTTTCTTCTATGCCTTTTTCATTGATCTATATCTGCTGTAGTTTCCGGGGGGGCATCTATCTGTTGTTTTCGCCACGGTAGCCAGATGTTTCTGACCCGCAGGGAACCTGGAGTGCCCTTGTCTCTTTTCCGATCTTATCCTCTTCCCTTTTCTCCTCCTTTTCTTCTATATTGTTACTTACCCTTCCTATACTTCTATGTCTTTTTCATTGATCTATATCTGCTCTTGTTTCCGGGAAGGCATTCTATCTGTTGTTTTCCGCACTGTAGCCATATGTTTCTGACCCGCAGGGAACCTGGAGTGCCCTTGTCTCTTTTCCGATCTCATCCTCTTCCCTTTTCTCCTCCTTTTCTTCTGTATTGTTCCTTACCCTTCCTTTTCTTCTATGTCTTTTTCATTGATCTATATCTGCTGTAGTTTCCGGGGAGGCATTCTATCTGTTGTTTTCCGCCTTGTAGCCATATGTTTCTGACCCGCATGGAACCTGGAGTGCCCTTGTCTCTTTTCCGACCTTATCCTCTTCCCTTTTCTCCTCCTTTTCTTCTATGTAGTTCCTTACCCTTCCTTTTCTTCTATGTTTTCTTCATTGACCTATATCTGCTGCTGTTTCCGGGGAGGCATTCTATCTGCTGATTATCTGCTGTTTTCCCCACTGTAGCCATATGTTTCTGACCCGCAGGGAACCTGGAGTGCCCTCGTCTCTTTTCCGACCTTATCCTCTTCCCTTTTCTCCTCCTTTTCTTCTATATTGTTCCTTACCCTTCCTTTTCTTCTATGTCTTTTTCATGGATCTATATCTGCTGTAGTTTCCCGGGAGGCATTCTATCTGTTGTTCTCCCCGCTGTAGCCATATGTTTCTGACCCGCAGGGAACCTGGAGTGCCCTTGTCTCTTTTCCGACCTTATCCTCTTCCCTTTTCTCCTCCTTTTCTTCTATATTGTTCCTTACCCTTCCTTTTTTTCTATGTCTTTTTCATTGATCTATATCTGCTGTAGTTTCCGGGGAGGCATTCTATCTGCTGATTATCTGCTGTTTTTCCCACTGTAGCCATATGTTTCTGACCCGCAGGGAACCTGGAGTGCCCTTGTCTCTTTTCCGACCTTATCCTCTTCCCTTTTCTCCTCCTTTTCTTCTATATTGTTCCTTACCCTTCCTTTTCTTCTATGTCTTTTTCATTGATCTATATCTGCTGTAGTTTCCGGGGAGGCATTCTATCTGTTGTTTGCCCCACTGTAGCCAGATGTTTCTGACCCGCAGGGAACCTGGAGTGCCCTTGTCTCTTTTCCGATCTTATCCTCTTCCCTTTTCTCCTCCTTTTCTTCTATATTGTTCCTTACCCTTCCTTTTCTTCTATGTCTTTTTCATTGATCTATTCTGCTGTAGTTTCCGGGAGGCATTCTATCTGTTGTTTTCCGCACTGTAGCCATATGTTTCTGACCCGCAGGGAACCTGGAGTGC